AAGCAAACTGCCAGGTCCAGGACTTGAAGTACAGTCAACCATGTGGGAGTCCAGTGCTCTTAACCACCACGGCACCTGCCAGTCCCACATGTTTTTTTAATTAATTTTTTTTTTTTAGAGAGAGATTTTTGCTAGAGGGCACATGTGTTTACTGGAAAGACAGAGAGAGACAGAAAACAAGAAATCACCCCCCATGGGGGATGCCATGCCACAATCCCTTCTCCTCCACTGTCCTCTCAGGATTTGGAGCATACATGCACTTGTGCCTGGTATGAGGTCCGGGACTTGAACTACAGTCAGCCATATGGGAGCCCAGTGACACAACCGTTACACCATCTGCTGGTCCCAATCAAATAAGAATTTTAAATACCTAAATATTTTTCTATATACTTAGGGAACAAGGCATATCATAAAATAATCTTCTAGAAATGTTTTGTTCTTTGATGACAAACATGTATAAATATGCATAAGAAAATTGTACTGAAAATAAAATTAATGTAAACTTAATGAAATATTGAAATTGTCAAGTGCAAAGCAGCTAGCTAAAACTCCTATTTATATATCCTTCTTTCATTTTTCACTTATATAAGCAAAATAAACTTTACATAATTCTTAAAGTTTTAAAAGATTCCCAAATAGAGTTCATTGAGTAGCACGGTGGTTGAGGCAGCTGGACGCCATGAGACCAGCTGTGCATGGTTCAAGTCCTGGACCAGCAGCTTGAGAAACATGCTGGGCATGTGTGTGTGCATGCCCAAAATTCCAAAAGGAGAATGGAGTAGAAAGGGTTGTGGAATGGCCATTTCTCCTGAGAAATGTTTTCTCACTTTCTCTCTCTCTCTCTCTCCAGCAAACCTACATGCCTTATAGCAAATTTTTTAAAAAGGAAAAAAAAAAAAGATTCCCAGATAACAAATATTGTACGTGATCTTCTTTTGGGATCTGAATTTAAGTACAACTAACTTGATGGTAGTATGATAAGCAACAATCTGAATGACATGTAAACAGGAGAGGGTAAATTCCAAGCACAATCTAAATGAGAAGTGAAACTTACTTCCCGTAATCGACACTTGAACACATCAATACAATCTTCATCTGAAACCAGGTGCTTTCCCAAAGGAGAACACACTGCCCTCCAGTGGCCTTCAGGGGAGAAATGAAAATAGTTTCAGGTACCATGACTGCAGCATTTATGTGAAGCATGGAGTATTTACCTAAATCAACTTCAGGTTATATTTCTTAAACTGAAACTTATGGCTACAACTGAGCATAAGATAAATTCTAATATGTAGGTGGCTATTCCAGTTAAATAAAAATATTAACCAGGACATCTGGTTACAATTTTCTGACCCCAAAGCTGACCATTACTATCACACTTGGATTCTGTTAGCCACCAATAGTTTCCGACTTCCCACATAAGGAAGAAGAGATTTCATCTCTATGTTTCCCTTGTTGGCCAATTTTTTAGCTAAAAGACATTTAAAATTGTACAGCAGGCAGAACCCCAGGGGACTGAACAGTGTTCCAACATCCTTAAAGGCTTCCCATCACTTGAAAAACCAAATTCTTCCTCCTGTTTCTTAAACTAACCAAAGTAGGCAAAAGCAATTTTAAAAAGTCTTTGTGTCTAGCATTGGAACTTTCTCATATTTCACACCATTATATAAATGTCACTCTAACCTATATGTATCACAAATGCTACGCTAAATTAGGGCCAAATTTGCAACCTAGTTTAACTGGGTTTCCTCTTTTTGCAAATGCAGTTTTTGTGTCTGCATTTAGCAATGCATACAAAACTGTCCATGAAGCTAACTGCTTCGAATTGCTAAATTTGAGGATGGGTGTGTAGATCAGAGTCTTTATGCACAGGCCAAAGCAATCCTGTTTCCAGTCCTATAAAAACTTTCTAATCAAATGGACCTACATTGCTAAATTCTTGGACCACTTCATTGACTTTTTTGAATTCAGTAAAGGAAAGCCTGAATTTTATGTGGGGAAAGAGAAGTTTTTAAACCTCCTCCATGCTTCTTTTAGACGCCAGAGAGGAAATGCATCACAAAATAAGAACATAAACTTTGGGGACTGGCAGCCCTATAGGCTCATCCTTTACTAGTTATATGACTTAAAATTAGTCTCATTTTCCTCACCACTAAAGCAAAGATAATAATGCTGGTTTTAGAAGGTGGCCATTGCAATTGAATGAGGGACTGTATGTGAAGGGTCTGGTGCAGAGGAAGGGCTTGCACCACAAATTATTATTCTGTCACCATTACTTCTTAGATGTATTAATCCAATGGCCAAGTAAATTTTCTAGAGGATGTTTTTCTTTTTCTTTCTTTTTTTTTTTTTCTTTTTTTTTAAGAGGTTTTTGCTATAGGGCACGTGCGCTCACCGGACACAGAGAGACAGAGAGACAGAAAGCGAGAAATCACCCCCCAGGGGGGGATGGCCACGCTGCGATCCCTTCTCCTCCATTCTCCTCTTGGGAACTCACGCCACATACGCACACGCGCCTGGCGTGAGTTTTAAGCCACCAGGTCCAGGACACGAACTGCGGTCGACTACATGGGAGTCCAGCGACATGTCTTCCTCCTGTTTCTTAAACTAACCAAAGTAGGCAAAAGCAATTTTAAAAAGTCTTTGTGTCTAGCATTGGAACTTTCTCATATTTCACACCATTATATAAATGTCACTCTAACCTATATGTATCACAAATGCTACGCTAAATTAGGGCCAAATTTGCAACCTAGTTTAACTGGGTTTCCTCTTTTTGCAAATGCAGTTTTTGTGTCTGCATTTAGCAATGCATACAAAACTGTCCATGAAGCTAACTGCTTCGAATTGCTAAATTTGAGGATGGGTGTGTAGATCAGAGTCTTTATGCACAGGCCAAAGCAATCCTGTTTCCAGTCCTATAAAAACTTTCTAATCAAATGGACCTACATTGCTAAATTCTTGGACCACTTCATTGACTTTTTTGAATTCAGTAAAGGAAAGCCTGAATTTTATGTGGGGAAAGAGAAGTTTTTAAACCTCCTCCATGCTTCTTTTAGACGCCAGAGAGGAAATGCATCACAAAATAAGAACATAAACTTTGGGGACTGGCAGCCCTATAGGCTCATCCTTTACTAGTTATATGACTTAAAATTAGTCTCATTTTCCTCACCACTAAAGCAAAGATAATAATGCTGGTTTTAGAAGGTGGCCATTGCAATTGAATGAGGGACTGTATGTGAAGGGTCTGGTGCAGAGGAAGGGCTTGCACCACAAATTATTATTCTGTCACCATTACTTCTTAGATGTATTAATCCAATGGCCAAGTAAATTTTCTAGAGGATGTTTTTCTTTTTCTTTCTTTTTTTTTTTTTCTTTTTTTTTAAGAGGTTTTTGCTATAGGGCACGTGCGCTCACCGGACACAGAGAGACAGAGAGACAGAAAGCGAGAAATCACCCCCCAGGGGGGGATGGCCACGCTGCGATCCCTTCTCCTCCATTCTCCTCTTGGGAACTCACGCCACATACGCACACGCGCCTGGCGTGAGTTTTAAGCCACCAGGTCCAGGACACGAACTGCGGTCGACTACATGGGAGTCCAGCGACATGGCCATTACACTAACTGCTGGTCCCTAGAGGATGGTTTTCTAAGACTCAGCTCCTGCTGTCATCTTAAGCAATGGCTCCTCATTTATTTTACTATATAGAAATGTCTAAGTCCTCCAGATAAATTCCTCAAAAGAAATGCCCTGTGCTAAGTGAACATATTTTAACCTTGGGTTGTTTAAATACAGTACCTTTAAATAGGAATCAAGTCTTTTCTTCTTTGCATTCCCAGAGAAGGTGCTTTTCATTATATGAAAATGTCTATTTTGAGGAAACTATGCATGGATTTCACTTTTTTGTTTTGTACCAAAATAGATTCATACTTTAATTCTACTTTTCCATAAACTTTCTGAAGTCCCTCATATATTCATCTGAATTCACAAAGCACTTTAGAATTTTTTAAATGACAAAAAAATTATAATCATTATACAAATGGGATAGTAATTAGATATATATGGTTATATCATAGTGAATAAAAAAGTTCCTAGGCTTTAGAGTCGAGAATTCCATGATTATACCTGTTCTGGTTTTCTATTATAATTCAGCTTAGGGAAATGTACATTGAGCACACTTCTTTCGGAAGATCACTGCAGTATTCTTTGGGATGAAAAAAAAAACCACACACCTAAAGGCACATATTATTCATACACATGGTTTTCTCTTTCTTCTAGCTATTTTAATGAGTTTTTACTAAGCCATGTTACCACACCTTCATCTCTTCCCCTGTGAATGTCTGCAGCATGTAAGATGTGTTTTTATCTTGGTAAGTTCATTGAGTATTGTCTTCTCTGACCATGATATCTCACCAATAATTTCATTATGATATTTTATGTCATATAGCATAAAATCTTTGATTACTCAAAATAGTTCTTATAACTCAGAGTCAAATTGTTTATGATGTAAAATAGTAGGATATATTGATGAACTAAGAATGTCGCAATGATTTGGTAAGCATTTTTGTTAAACTCTTAGAAAATTTTGAGTTGAAGTATCATTTAAAGATAAAGCAAAGCAAGTACAATTAGATATCTCAAGAGTGTACATGGCTTACATTGAAGCCTAGGTATAAGTATTATGTATGCATTAATCAGTGCAAAGGAAATACACTATGGTTATAGCTAATCTAAATTAACCTCAAAATTGACAGTCAAACATACACATTTGTGATAACATTATGAATTTTTAAAAAATGCATCATATTTGTAAAAGCACCAAAATAGTCTAAAGTCAGAATACTTTCCCTAGGTGTAATTATATTATCATAATTCTCTACCTTGACAGATGACAATTTTAGAACACTCTAAATACAATTTCTAGTATATGCACTAAAATAAAATGTAACAGATAGACAACTCACCATAGTATAAGTAACACATTCAAATTTAGTAATTTATTTTCCAGGTGGAAACCAGGCTTCTTGGAAGACTTCAAACTATGCCAAATGGTCTGATTTCACCATAGAGGTAGGCACTATAGGACTAAATTTACTTCTGTGTAATTTTTCTTAACTACATTTTACATGCAAATGTCTATACAACCATGTTAATGAAGTTCCAGAGAAGGAAAGAAAGTTGGCATTCCCATTTTTCTGTTTTATTCAAAAGCAACTTTTCAATTGACTTGTGCTATCATTTAAACCAATTTTAATTTAATCATAAGAAACTAGAAAAGTCTAACAATGTCTTAAAATCAAATCACAAGTCAGGAAAAACAATATCTAATAGTGAATAAAATTTAGACTTGACATCTTATTTCACTTATACCTTTATAGTCTTCACAGGATGCTTCTACTGGAATCAGACCAAAAAAAAAAAAAAAAAAAAGGCTTTATTCATGAATATTTAGAACAGTGAAATCCAATGATTCGGAGAAGGTTATTTAGAGGAAAGAATTTTTTCCCCTTCTTTTCAAGAGGCTCAACATTTTCTACACCCCAAATGGAACAGGATGCTTAGTTGACAGTTGCCCCAAATCCTTTTTTCCAAGAAATGTAGATAAATATGTAAATTCTGCATGGGTGAATTTTCTATAAAAATGTTGATATTTCAAGTTTCAAAGTCCAACTTGCGAATGGAAATGTATAGTATCCTTTCAATTGGAATGTTAATAATTCAAATCTTGTCTGAGATGATAAGACTATCCCTGAGGTGCAAGAAAAATAAAGTTTTAAAACTAAAGACACAGTTGATTTACAACAGTACAAATTACTAATGCTTGAAGTATAAAAGATAAAAGGAGGAAAAGACAGAAATAATGGTTGCAAACTGCATTTATGGTACATGTTATAGACAGGACTGGACAAGCTCACCCACAACATCCAGAAGAAAGCAAAACAAATACCTCATTTACCCTCATGCTTTAAAAGCAATCAGGATCCTGACCCAAATTTCGAACTCTTAGAACTTGGAAGTATCTATAGAACCCAAAACATCAAGGTTTCTGAAACCTGTCACTTCACAGAAATAGGAAGATCTTTAACATGGAAATATGACTATTAAGAATTCACAGATTATCTGAACCATTTGCTAATCACCCCACCCCCTGTGCTAGGGGGAGAAGAGAAAAAGAGAGCAGGAGAGGAAGACTCAAAGCACTGAGGGAAGCCTGCTGTGAAAATGCTAGGCCCTTCCTGGGATTTAGGTTGTCAACCTAATCCTAGCCTCTATTGTATGACTATATCAGGGAAAACAGTGTGGGGTGTGTGTGCTCGTGTAAGAGAGAATTAGGGTGGGGAAACCAGGATGTTGAGAAATTTAACACATTCATATGATTTTTAAAAAGCATTTTGAGAGTATTGTGTTTATACATGCTGGGCAACAGAAACCATAAACCTTGTTGGATTTCTGCAAACTGCTGCGTGAAGCATACAAACCACATTCCTGTCAATGGGAGGAAGAGACAGACAGAAATCATGACAGAGACAGGCAGCACCCCCAGGACGTGAAGTTTGTTCCTATTACAAGCTGTAGTGGAAGGAGATGATGACATCCAGAACAAAATGTCTTTTTCACAAGGATGCTAAGGCTCTTGTTTTGTGATCTCTGTGTATAAAAAGAATGATCAATGGGAAGGACTTACTTTCCCTCTTTTCAGGAATCACAATGTAAGGGCTTTTTAGTTATTTTAAACTTCTTCCTGTAGAGCCCCATTGTTGTGTTCCATGAAACAGACAAAACTCAGCAAGACAACAAAGACTTGGTCTGCAGGAGCGAAGGTAATAAAGAGCAAGTCCTCTCCAGAGGGTAATTAATCCTTAGTCATTCATCTTAGAAGTCCCAGTTACACTTAAGGTTAATGTTCAGGTAGCTTCTTTCTATTTTCTTTAAAAATTTTTTTAAACATTTTTTTTTTTGCAGAATGTTATACTATTAATTGCCAATTTGCATATGTGTGCAGCTGCTGTTTTGGCTCTGAACTCAATCCGATAAGCTTGCTGGAGGTATCGCAGAGCACTTGGCAGCTTTCCTATTTGAAAAGAAAGCCTCTCCCCACTACAGAACAGCTGATCGTCTATCAGCGATAGACCCTGATGGCGTGAATTACAATTACACTACTTTTCACACTAAATCTGGGTGATAGCTACTTGGAAAGAAGTTTCATCATTTTTTACCACAAACTGGAAAAAGAATTACATGGTCATGCTGTGCTTTTAAAGGCAGTTTGGTTCACTTTTGTCTATTTAACACCTAATTCCAAGAAGTCCATAGGCATCCAGAGATCTGAATGGCGCGTAATGAATTCACTGTTTAGATTGAAGATTTTAAAAATCTACCTCAAATTACATTTATTAACAAGGCGACCAGGAAGTGTTAAAGTTGTTAGACGCTTCATTTATTAAATAATTTGTGGGTATTTTCAGTTGTCATATCTAGAGTCATGGGGTTTGCTTATTTTTTTTAATTAGCAATCCAAAACAATGCTACTGCAATTTAACAATTCATCACATAATCTTGGGCTCTTCAGTTCAGCTGTTAATGTTAGATAATTCAGATTGTTATTTTGATCTGTTTATAAATGATTTAGGTTGCATTGTGCTGTGAGGGGAACCGCAGCAGCCCAGGCAGAGATCTTTCTCATCTTTCTTGAATTGCTTAGGATAGCTGAGGGGCTTTCCAAAAAAACATATATGAGGAGATAAATTCACTGACTAGCTGGAGCAAACAAGTGACGGGGGCCTGGACACTAGTAATAAATTGATTTATTATCATCACCACTTAGTTAACTTCATTATTAATTTACAATTCCTGCCTACTGGAAAATTGAGGATTGCCAAAGTATACTTTATTACTGTAGAATCCCACTTCTTTCTCATTTTTTGGAACATTCCAAAGTACTGGTTTTCTTCTTGCAAGAATCAGTCAACCATTAGAACAGGTTAAGAGGTTCCTAACATCCCTCTTCTTTCTTCTCAGTCTCCTCAGGCCTCCTTTCTCCCATCTTGACATTTAAATCCATTTGTTTAAAAAGAAGAAAAAAGAAGAGTGCAACCTACTTCAAGCAGAAGTGAAACACACTAATCCTGACGTAGTTAACCTAAGAGAAAAATAGATTTTGTTTTCCTTTTTTAGTTGCTAGCTTTATTAGATTTCTCACTCTCACAGATTATCCGAAGACTACCCATTGATTGATCGCCCGTTGAGCTGCATTTGGTGTAAAGAAAAAACTCACAGCTTTATTGGCTCCCAGGAGACAAAACAAACAGAACAAGATATTCATATTAATGCAAACAATGCAACAAATGAGGGGAGGAATCGCCAGGCTGAAGCAAGGCGCGGGAGCAGTGAGAGGCCTGGCCAGAGGCCTGGCCCAGAAGGCCTGGGCACCCTTGTCCCAGAAACCAGGTTTCCCAGCCTGTCCAGCTGCTGGATGCTGCCTCAGCAGTGGGTTCCCCCCCAGGTCCCACCACACGGGGGTGCCCTGCAGAGCAGCAGGCCTGAGTGCCCGAAGGAGGCCTCTAGGAAGGGCCTGCCTAGGCCCCTTGACAGTCCGCAGTGCAGGACTGGAAGGAACCTGGGAACTCTCCTTGCAGTATCCTTTCTATATACCTCCAGGGCCCCAGTTCCCAAGTCTCAGTTTCCCTTCAGGGTGAGTGCAGAATTCTCAGATGTATCCCTAGCACACCTGAGGCAGCCTGGAAGGAGAGGCAAGAAAGAGCCAGGGAACAATGGGGAAGCGAAGTGACTCCCTTTTAAAAGCTCACTTTACCATGTACCAGACTATGTGACACCCATTTAAACACAACACAGAACTGCTGTCTAACCAAAGGCGAGGGGAGTGGAGTGGTATGTAAGTGCTGAGAGACGAGACTTTCTCTGAGTTATCTCAGGAGAGGAAGAAAGGAAATTCCAAGGTAGAATAAAGGGTCTCAGCTCCATACCTAACCATTCCCGTCCCCAAACTAGGAGAGAATCTGTTAAGCCTTGATTTCATGTCTTACAGGCAATAGGGTATTAAAAATAGGGATGGCAAATATTGCATGGGGCATACTTACACTACAGTATTTTTTGTTGTTTGTCTGAAATTCAAATTTAACTGGGCATCCTGCATTTTTATTGGCTAAATCTGGCAATCCTAACTAAAAAGTACTGGGTTGAAGAAACCATGTAAGAAGCAAGGCTCATTCTCTGATGTAACAGGGATTTTCAGGACATTTTTGATAGAACCTTACCTTGAGAAAGAAAATGAATTGCTGCACACTTTAGATGTATAAATGCTCATTCCCTTTCCTCCTACCTTAGCTTGCATCTCAAATTACAAATATATAATGCTGGCTCTTCCCTCATCTGAGCAGGCTTAAGAAATGCTCCACATGGTGTTAAGGTGCTTTTTCCTCCCTGCAGAAATGTGCTGGGGCCCTTGTAAGAGTGGTGATAAAAGGACAGCATACTTTTCCCAAGCACATTGTTGGGTGGAGGAGGACGAATGACTGAAGCAACCTGCACATGTCCTTACCGTTTAGGAGGAAGTGGCGGTGTTGTTGCCTCTTCACTGAGAACCCCTTAGGGGTCCTTGAGATTGGCTCGCTGGGTCTCACATAGAACTTTCTTCCTGGCCAGTAGAGGGTACCAGAGCTTGGTTGTAGGCAGAGCATTCTACCTAAGGTCAGGATTAGGTGTTTTTTTTTTCTTTCTAAACCTTTACTCTAGAGTCACATTACTAATTGGTATTTCATTTATTTAGAAAGAAAACCAAGTTAGAATTTGAGAACTTTAAAGATGGAAGGGTAGAGCAAAATCAGTTTTGAAATTTATTAAAGGCTCTTAACCTTGAAGCAGATCTCATCCAGGGTCTTAATACATGCTGAAAGAAAAGGCTTTCCAAAGGCAAATAATAAAGTTGCAGGGGAAAACTAAACAAAGCAGTGAGTCTTTGCATATTGAAGTGTGTGTGTGAGTGTGAGGGAGTCACAAAGCAGCTTTATGGAGGAAGCCTGCTGCTTGCATTTCTTCCCTGTGCTTGTTAGAGAGAGCTTTTCCAAGCAAGCTTTATCACCCTTACTGGTACTTTGGATTCCCAGGGAGCTGGCTTCCTTTTAAGCCGATTGCTTGAAGTTGTATGAATACACGAAGGATGCCCCCTTCCCACTGGCGGTTAGTACTATTTAACAACTGCAAATGGAGAAACATTTGTCTAATGAGAGCTGTTTTCAAAGGTGATACACCAACACTCTTGGGGAAAGATAAGACTGAGACCTCCTCCTAAGCCACAGGACCATCTCAAGACAAGCGGAGGCCAACTGTAGAACCAAATTAAATAGTTGGTTTATGTGATGTTTTAGATCCAGATCAATAGTTTAAGAAAATACATAAGCACACTTTAAGTTTATTCTGGTTTATTTTCCTCCCCCCTTTCCCAGACAAACTCTAACCTTTGGTTGAGAATTTAGACCATTAAAAATTTACCATGTGGTTTCAGGGTTATGGTGTGGTTTAATTCCATACTTTAGATGTAGGAATGCCTTTTACCTTCTCTCCTACCTTAGCTTGCATCTCAAACTACAAAAATATATTGTTTGTCCTTCCCTCATCTGAGCAGGCCTAATAAATGCTCAACACTGTGTTAAGGTGCTTTCTCTCCCCTGCAGAAATGTACTGGGGCCTTTGCAAGGGTGGTGATAAACTGACAATTCGTACATAACTAACTCCACCCCATTGTCAGGTAATATCAGGCTTCCTCATACTCTGTCTGTGGTTTAGCATAATGGCTAGTCTCTTTGTGAAAAAAACAAAAACAAACAAACAAACACTTAAAATATGATTTAAACTTCCTACAAGGCCAAGTACAAAGTTAGTGAAAAAGTATAATGTTTTTAAGGTTATAGGATTAATATAGAAAAAAATAGTGGATTGAAAGGCAAGAGAACTTGAGTTGAGTTCTAATTATTTGTGTAAGTTCGATGGACTCATTCATTCTCCTTGTAGTTTTTTTTTTTAATATTTTGTTTTGCTCACACAAAAAAGCAGTTGTAGTTGGCAATCTTTAAGATGTTATTTTAGTAAAACAACAATTTCTTGAATGGACTGAGAAGTGATAACCATCCTTTGTATACTTCCAAAAGATATCAGCAAGATGGTTTTTGAAAGTATTCATGGTATAGCCCTAAAGGACAGAGGACACATCTGCAGGCGCTAGATTATCAGGTATTCTAGATTCTAAGGGGCCGTAGAAACAGGTGGGACTGGATGAATATTAAGGGATTTCATAGTCAGGTGCAAATTCTCTGGAGAAGTGTGAGTGACTTAAAGGCATATAACTGTATATAGACAGGACAAGGGGATAACATGTTTGAGGGGATAACATTCTTATTCGGGGATTGAGAACTCAGAGAAAAGAAGATGGCAAAAGAAAGCTAAAGCTGATTAGTACATACACATGGCATCGTCATTCTGAATATTCTAGTGCTTGGTACACTTTACTGGTATGACTCCATCTAAGAGGAGCTCAGAGGCTGAAGGAAGTTGGCAATATAGTTGAGACTAGTTTTAGAAATGACCTAAGAAACGTACTTTCTTATATTGTATTAGTGACATAAAGTGGTACTTCTTTTAATTTGAGGCCCTTCTTGAACTGTAAGCTCCAGTAATTTTTCACTAAACAGACTTCATTCACATTCTGAATCTGGTTTTTGTCTCACACATATTAAATTTTACAAAACAGAAAGAAACAATAGAGCTTATTAGGAAAAACTTGTTTTGAATAGTAAATTAAGCATAATAGAAATAGGCACATGTTTTAGCACAGCCCCCCCCCTTTTTTTTACCAATTGAACATTTACATCTTTTTCAAAGTGCTGTGATTTTCCCCTTAAGTCTTAAACTGGCACCACACACTTTCAACAAATGAGACTTACATCACTTGTATCTACTGAGATAAAGCATTGTACTATTGTGGATTCCAAATGCACAGCCTTCTGAAAAAGAGTTTTAGGCAGTCACCCCTGAATTGTATTAGTCAAATCGTTGTGGTGTACTAAGAATCCAAAGAACTACCTAATTTCAGAGATGGTGTAAATCAACTGTCAGTTCTAACTGGCTTCAAATTATGCCTTATTCTCAGAGACTGGAAACCTGTCCATTCATCTGACTACACGGTTTGTTATTAAGAGATATGCCCCAGGTGGAGGCATCCTTGAAGCCAATATATTTTCTTTATAACTGGTGTCAAATTGATGTATATATTAAAAAATCTTGGAAAATGATCTCAAAAAGGAAGTAACAGCCCAATGAGCCATATGTTCAGGGAACCTAACAGGTTTCCATTGGGACCAAATTTCACTTCACCTTTTTGTCCTTATGTGCAAATAAAAACTTATCTGTAAATACACCATTAAAACAGTCATGCAAACTTGTGAGGTCTGTAGACTGAAAAATTACATGAAATCATTAAAAACCAAGTTGTTGGATGGCAAAGAATTTGATTAGATATTAGAAATAAATAACACAACGTAGAACTGAACTGAATTTATTTGAGTTTGATAGCTTCGCAGCTTCAGAGAGATACTTTGTTTCTCTAGAATTGGCTGATGAAGAAAAGGCTGATGAATAGTTAATAAACGGCTTAATTTTGATGCTGACGGAGTTTCTGCATCTCCAGTTCACATTAATAAATGTAAAGTTAATTTTTTTTTTTTTTTTTTGCTGTTAGATAGGTTGCTATTTTAACAGATTCAGACACCAGGGAATATTTCAAATGCCAGCTAATACTCTAGCACTGAAAAGTCTGTGATGTGCTAACAGCAGAGGCCTACTTAGTGGTTTTCCAAAGAGTGGAAACCAAAAAGCATTAGCATTTATTTACACAAATTCTTAATGAAACTCTCCTAAGAGTTTTCAATGTAAAATCTTTAAACATGCTGAATTATTTTAATAGATCCTAATAATTTTGCATTTGGCTAACCTTTGGTATGCCTGGGCATATTCTAAAAGGAAAAATGGTTCACTCTGTGCACCAGTATAGTTTTTCATATAACTAGGATCAATGATGATTTTAAAATGCCAGATTTATTCATTACTTTTATTTATTTTTGTGTGCTATAGAATGAAGAATTACAAAGAAGGGGAGAAAAAATAATATAAAAGAAACCCTTGTGTGGATGTGACTTAACTTTTATCAAACCTTCACATTTTAAACTGATATTTAAGAAATGCACAGTTGTGTATAAGCTATGCGCAGGTAAGTGAGGGTCAGCAAGCAAAAAAATTACTGCATACATTATCTTTCAATTACTTTTGTTTTCCCTCTATGGCTTGAGGAAAGGAAGTTTTATTAATTTTAGACACCTGCTTAATAAATAGCACAGAAGGAATAGCATTCTCATTCAGCCCAAATTCTGGCCAGTTCTCTGTGACTGGCTGTGTTTTGTTTAACCCACTTAAACCATAAGAATGTCAATGTTTTTAATCTCTATGTAAATCTGTAATAGTTGAAAATATTTTAAAAGTAGGAAAAAAACATGTGTTTTTCGCTCAATAACCAGCCTTTAAGTTCAAAAAGTAGGGGAAAAATTGTAACAAAACTAAAGGTCCCCCGTCTGCCTCAAAGGTAGAGGAGAACGTGTTTTCAGCCATGACCCGAATTCTGGTGAATTCTTCGTGGAGGGGCAGCCACGGAGCTGCTGTTTTTGACCCAGCTTCTCTCAAGCCAGAGGACTGAGAGCAAACCAGGCCGGCTAGAAATGCCAGGGCTTCCAGGACCCTCTAGCCTCCGCAGCAGGTGTTGGGGTGGCCCCCTTCTTGATAGGCTTTCCTGTCACCTGGTAGTGTCTTAGTGTATATCTCTGGGGGTCCAGACCGCCACTTAGTCTAAGGTCAAGGAGGCCAGGCTCTGGAAGCACGACTAAAAGGCCCTTCCTGCGTCTTCTGTGTGCTTAATCGTGTACGAGTAGTTCTGGTGGGGAGGGGAAGTGCTGGGATCTGACGTGCACGCGCGGGAAGGCTTAGCTGGGAGCTGACCTCACTGACTCGAAGGCTGCGGGAGGCCGGCGGGAGGCCTCTAAGGGTGGTGGCCCCTCGAGGGCCGGGTGGGGATCTGCAGTCGGGCTCTTGCCATTCTGCCCGGACTTTCTTGCACCCTTGGCAGTTCCTCGCCCTTCCCAAATTCGCTTGCGTTCCCGCGCTCTGTCCAATGCATCTGATTCACTTGCAGTAAGCGAGTGGGCGCAAGAAGGCCAGCTTCCTGGCCTTGCCTCAGGGCGTGGAACCCAGAACTCTGTCCCTCGCCCCTTTCCCCATGAGGCGCCTGGGGAGTGGGCGCTCGAGCGCACCAGCGCCGGGCTGAGCTGGGCCGGGCCTGCTCAGAGTGGGGCGGGGGCAGCGCAGGGGCTCCGGGCCGCGAGGGCCGCGGCGGCGATGGCTGGGTTCCACTCGCCAGCGGCGGGCAGGACGCGCGGGAAAGCGAGGGAGCAGGAAGCGGGTGGC